TCCCTATCAAGTTACTAGGAGACTAGAGCGAGAGTTAACCAAAGGTCAAATTCTCATACAGAAAGGAAAATAGGGTTTGTTAACATCACTCTCTCCTGAAGTAATCAGCAAACAAGTCAAAATACGTACGCTCTATAACCTAAGGTCAAACAAAGAAACTCATAAAATAGCCAATGAATATATACGCAGATCACAAAACTCTTCCAAGCTATTTATAAATTTTTAGCATATGACATGTACATGAAACACAAAACTCTCCAAATCAAATAATCTAGATGAACAAATGTGGAAAAAAATAGCATTATTTCTTTCCACATTTGATAGTACCTCTTTTTTCCTAACTTTATTTTACAGCAAATATTTAAGAATAAAGCATTTTGGCAACTACCTATATAAAATTGTAATCTTGATGAAGTTTACATATTTCTTTCCAAGAAAAAACACAAAATTCAGAAGGCTTAAAGGAAAAGACTTATAAATCTAACAAAATTTTTAAATTCTGCTTTTTTATACAAAAAGAGGAAGAGGGATTTGTAACCACTTTGAAAAGCAAATTGGTAACATTAATCAAAAATTTAAATGTCCTTATCTTTTGACACAGCAGTTACACTTGGAGGAGTTTATCCTATAGATATGCTTACATATGTACAAATTATTTTGCTGGCGTCCAACTAAAATGGTCAACAATAGAAAGTTGGGGAGCTTTAAGAAAGAGAATTACTTTCAATTTTAAATAGCATAAGATGACCCCACCAGCTATAGAAGATGGGGAAAAGGGCATTCTACATTTCCTTCTACTTCCTCTCCTGTCCTGATTCTATCAAGGCTACATTATCACAAACCTTTCTTCACAGAAGTTTAGAACATTTACACTGGATTCTATAACCATAATCCCACAGTTGCTTGGTCTTAGTTCTAAATGTAAATAATTCAATGCTGATCAGTTTTCTCTTTTCCTCTCCTTTGTGCTCACTCTCTAAGTTTTTATTATGGAAAATTTTAAACACACACACAAATGTATAGTATAATGAAAGCCGATGACCCCGTCACCTAGCCTTGACAGTTAAAAACGTACACTAACTTTGTTTCATATATTCAGCACTTCCTCTCCCACCACACCCCCGAGGCACCCCAACTGTTTCATTATTTCTTCAGGTAGAGGGGGAAGAAAGCCTTGATCCACTCCCCCAACCTTTCCCAAGAAGTTTCAAGACTGATCTCCTTTGCATCGTATACTCTTTTCCCTTCTCTATTTGATCTTTAGATCATGTTCGTCTACTATTTTTCATTTTTGTAAAAAAAGAGAATTAAAACACCCCTATTAAAATATAGTGTTATTATATTACACATTATTATAGTATATATTATTATATTCCCCTACTCCTGAGGGTGGTGATTTCGTTTCCAGTTGTGTTTTGCTCAGAGAGACCACTGTGGCTAGTTACGTCTGCCTGAAATAAAGCAACTAAAGCTTGAAAAATAAAACATACAGACCCTGATAAACATACTCACTCTCTCAGACTGACCTGACGGAGGGGACTCAGCTCCATCTTTCTAGTTGTTAATTTTCAAAGAGGCTGAAATGGAAGCCCAAAATGTCTTTCATGGCCACCAGCTAATTATATTAATGTGTTCCTCCCCACCGCCCACAGTTTTACTGATATAATTGACGATGTCATTGTATTCGTTTAAGGTGTACAACATAGTGGTTTGATATGTGTATGTATGGCAACATGATCACCACCGTAAGTTTTTTTAGCATCCATCACCTCACATAGTTACCCATTTTCTTTTTCTTGTGATTAGAACTTTAAAGATTACTCTTTTATCAACTTTCAAATATACAATAGAGTATTATTAACTATAGGTTCCATGCTGTACATTACCTCCCAGAACTTAATTTATCTTATAACTGGAATTTTGTACCTTTTGACCACCTTCACCAACTCCCCACCACTGCAACCACCAATCTACTATCTGTATATTAATTTGTGATTTATGAATATAAATCAAGTAGACTGCTCCTCCAGGAATGCTGGGGACAAAAGTCATTAAGGGCATAATCATGAACTGGATTACACACAGGGGTTGTTTTAGGCACACTATGGAAAGGACAGGCTCTAATATAAATGGCCCTCCTCACCTCAAATACCCCAGACTGGCCACAGCCTCTAGGGAAGAACTGAAGCGGATCGCAGTCTGAGGAAGTGTGGCAGCTTTCCACTCAAAGCTGGGGTTCCTTCTTTACCACAGCTCAAGTATGTGACATTTACCTAATAGAGACTATTTTAGACATTCTTACCTCTGTTTTTTTGGTTTGTTTTTTTTTTCTGTGTATTTTGGCCGCACCATGCGGCATGTGGGATCTTAGTTCCCCAACCAGGCATAGAATCAACGCCCCCTGCAATGGAAGCGCGGACTCTTAACCACTGGACCGCTAGGGAAGTCCTTACCTTTCATTCTTAAAAACACTCTACAGCTGACATAATTTACTGGAATGTTATGCCACCCTAGCAAATAAAAACCAAAATCTTGATATAATCATTCAGCAAACATCAATACGCAGAAAGCAACTTAACATATTAAACAACTTCTTTTTGATACTTACTTGCATATTTGTTCATAGCCTTGTGATGTGATTAAGACTTTCACACTAGATTCATAAACATCATTAATATTTGACCAGTGAGCCTGTATCTGAGGATCTTCAATGCGACTTGCTAAGCTGTCAATGGTTGCAGCAGTTCTTTTAAAGAAAATAAGTTAAAATTTTTATAAAGTTACCATATAAAATAATAAGATGATAAGTCACTTATCAGTTTTATGGTTATTTGGAAAACAGATGACTACTTTTGAAAATACCATCATTTGAAAAGCAAAGATTTTAAAGAAAGGTCAGATGTAGCTCTGATGTGCTGGTTCTCAGTTTCACATCACAGCACATTCTCATGCCACGTTGATTTCCTTTTAACTCCATTTGTTTTCTTCCACTCAGAAAATCTTACCAGAACACAAGTGAGAAGGATACTTCCAGGGTACTAACCTCAGCTCTGTAAAGAATATAAATTACTCATAAATATCAGTACTTGATCCCTGGTAACAAGTGACTTGGGACATACCTGCACCTGGAATTATAATTCCATTACTGTCATGGAATTATAATCATTTTTAAGAGAACCTAGAGAGACTTATTGCACAATTAAAACCTATACTCCAAGAAAGATAAATATGGTAAGCATAAATGAAAAATAAAACCCATCAAGTGATAAAAGATAAATATGGTAAGTATAAATGAAAAATAAGATCCATACAGTGATAATTATGTACCAACTGCTATAATAAGTGCTTTCATGAATTATTTTAACCTTACTAACAATAGTAGACACTACTATTATTACCTCCATTTTTCAGAAGGAACAAAGTAGTTTAGCAATGTTTAGTAACTTGCCCAAAGTTTGTAACTGTTTGGGGCACAAAACCTGGAAGTCTAACTCCAGAGCCAATAATCTTTCCTTTATATTTTATACACACTAATGAAAAGCCACTGCCTAGAACCAAAGCATAAATTATGTAAATTAAGCAAATTACTGAGATCCTCAGTTTCTAAAATTTGATTCTAGCCTTTACTGGAAAGAGAAGGAAAAGCCAGAAGGAAATGGAAGAAATGAGAATAGCCACTGAGGACAAGGGGTTTTTACACCAACAGGCTTGGGCTTTGCTCTTTTATCCTGCTTCTGCTCTAGTACTGGTTTCTTTCAATCCATTTTTAACTTTACCTTCTTTTTCTGTGATTCGTTTCCCTGGCAGTGCTTCAAAAATTTTTACAGCAGATAAATACGTATGTGAGAGTTTTCATCTCAGTATTATACCTATCAACAAACTGGGAATAAAAAAGTATCTAGCAATTGAGAATTGTTAAAAGAAATCATGGATTAGTCACACAATGGGCTGTTACAATATCTCTGAAGGCAGGGTATAAAACTTTATGATACCAGATTTATTAGAAAATAAAAAAGATATACATGCCCTGACACATATACTATTGACCCATGAACAATGGGTTTGAAATGCACCTGTCCACTGTAAGAGAATTTTTTTCACTAAATAATTACTACAATACTGCACAATCTTTGGTTGGTTGAATCCACGAATGCAAAACCTGGGAAAAGGAGGAACTGCCTATTTGGTGGCTGACTGTAAGTTCAACTGTACAGAGAGGGTGGCACCCCTAACCCCCGTGTTGCTCAAGGCTCAAATGTATGTAAAAATATATGAACATGTTAATTGTATGGAATTATACAGATGGGTTGATACATTTGGAACATTATTTCTATATCTAAGGGGAGAAAAGGGAATATTTTTAAAACTTTGCTGCTTCCAAGATTACAACTACTATTCAGAAATTTATAAGCTTTCTAAAGATAACTTTTTCCATGCCCTTCATTTATTTCAGGGAATATTTAACTTTATCGTTAATCATAAATTTGCAAGATTAACAATATACTCAAATTAATAGCTTTTATAATGGAAAGTAACAACAATAATCTAACATATAATATTCTTACTGTTTATAAGGAACTTCTGTATATACTATTCAATTTGATCCTAAGACCAGACTCCTATACCCCCAGTTGACAGAGAAATCGAGGGCCACAGGTATTAACTAACTTGCCCAAAGTTACTTAGCAAGTCATTGAGCCCTGGCTTAAACGCATCTTTTACCCTAAACTCCTTACTCCTTTCACTGTATCATGCTGTTGTCTCTAACATGTCTTCCTAATTCATTTTACCAAAAGTTTCCATTCTGAGACCAAAGACTAATGTGCTAATAAAACCATGACTGTATTAACAGGAAAAAAACAAAAATCAAAAATAAAATGTCATTCACAAAAACAGTGCGCCCACGCCTATTGAGTACCACCAAGGCGCAATCATGAATGAAGTAAAAACAGACCTCTTCACTAAGCGCCAATAATAAAATAGAAGAGCACCCTTTAGCATTTGGAAGTGAGACATTCATTTAGGTCCAATCATGCAAGTTTTTTTTGTATATGATGTGTATGGAAGAAAGAAAATGAGCTTTGGGGTTACGTAAACGTGGGCATAAATCCTGATTTTGCTAACCTTTTAGCTGTGTAACCTTCAGCATGTTGCACAACTTCTCTAAACCCCAATCTTCTCATCAGTAGAAATGGGTTAACATGATTTGCCCCAGAGCTAAAGATTAAATAAGTCAACATATAGGAAAGTGCCTTCCAAAGTCCTAAAATGTGTGACAACCAAAAAATAGGGAAAGCTTCAAAAAAGGTTTAAATCAGTTCAGGAAGAGCATCCCATGGACGGGTTACTGAAGAAAGTTTGGTGTCCCACGGCAGGTTCCTAGTCAGTCGTCTTTGGAAACATTAGTGCCAGTGTTACAAATGATCTATTAAGTTACATGGGCAATGGCGTTAACTAAGTCTTCCCCAAACTTGCCAGGACCATCTACGACTATAAACTCTTCTACCATAGCCACTTCCATCTCCCCGGAAAAAAAATTAAAGCATGCCCAAAATGATGTAACTAATAAAGATAACTAACAAAGGAAAAAGGACTGCAATTTCAAAGAAAAATAGTAACTCTGTCCTTACCTACTCCTCAGAAATATATGCTTTGCTTGTTTGATTATTTTTTCCAGAAGCCCTTCACTTGACTGTATTGAATTAATTTCATTTTTATCAAAAGCTTGAGGACCCGCAAGTCTCATTCTCTTGTGGCCGAAAGGTGCACTTGCTGGATGCGGCATCATGATGGAACTCAAGGTCTGTTTATGAAACTGTAACAAGAACAGCCGTTTTAAACAGCCAATACCCACATATTAACTACACAATGTTCGATCAAAACATGGCTCACATTTTGGAAACATGAAAGCAATGGATCTGAACCACATATAAAGGCAGTCTTGGCACACAGATAAATGTTAACATCTACTAGGCCACATTTAATGTGAGTTTGTGAAGAGAAGGGTCCCTCTCAAGCTACTGTTTTTATTTTAAAAGTTTTAAAGTAGAAAAACAAATATTCTTTAATAAGTCCCATTGACAGAAAACATGAAATCAATAGATAATTATTCCATCATACCCTAGATGAGAGGTTCCCAAACCTGGCTACAACAGAACCATCTGAGGAACATAAAAAAATACTGATTCTTGCACCACCACAAATGACTGAACCAGATTTTGGGGTGAGGCAGAGAAGGCTGGAATACGTACTTCTATTAAAAGATTTTCAGGGGAGTCTTTTGAAATTAGCCTAAACTGTGAACCAGCACTCTGGAAGCACAGTTCTAGATGATGTGTAAGTAGAATACATCCTGAAATAACTCAAGTAATCCTTTTCACGGGCTCTGGCAAGATATTTTCCTTAACTACCCAATCAGAATACCCTCTAGCGTGCATTTCTTACACCTCTCTATAAAACTTGTGGTGTATTTCTGCCACTAGAAGCTGTGCTTGGAGATAGAGACTATTCTGATTATCTCTGTATTCCCTGAGCCCATAGCAAGGATCTTTCACAGCACAGCTAGTGAATGTCATCATTATATGAATAATGAGGACTCAGCAGAGGGGAGTGTGTGTACATTCACTGCTGTGGATACTCTTACCACAATGCAAGGAAAAACATTTACTTCATTACCTCTCTAATCAGTAGATGCAAATTATGCTCTAGGACATAAAGATGGTCCTCTGGACTTTGCTTCTCGGTAGCAGATTTTTGGGATTTCTTATCATTTGAAGAATGGCACAAAGAAATAGATAACTGCAAGCCTATTTATAAAAATAAGTAGGACAGATATAAATAACCTATAATATGGAAAGGCACAAACTCTTTTCATAAAGTATAATCACAGCCCATTCTCAAAAGATACATTCTGAACTTTAAGAGGAGGCTTTCGTGATCAACATTTTTACACCAAAATGACTATTCATGAATATAATAAACTACCATATATTTTAACAATTCAAATTCTGTTCACCTACAATGTGGCTGCTGACTTTGAGCTGTGGTTAAAGACAGGTGAACAGAAACTATATGTTAATTTATTTCTTCTAGATTTTAAATTAAAAACGAAACAAAACAGAGTTAACATCTGGTCTTACTGACTAGAAGAAATTTTTTACTGACTAATAGAAATTTTTCACTCCTAATACCTATTCCCTTGACAAGATCTAAGAAGATGCTCAGAATTTATGTAAAAAACAAGTGCAGCTAATTACAAATTGATCTCTAGGTAAGTCTAACTGCTTTTGAATAATATTTTAAATTTAATCTCCACAAATTTAGGAACATTATGGATATTTAATTATGCATTTTCTAAACAGAAACACTAACTGGAAAACATACATGGACCCCAGTGTTCATAGCAGCATTATTTACCATTGCCAAGATATGGAAGCAAAGTAAGTGTCCATCAACAGACGAATGGATAAAGAAAATGTGGTGTATATATCTATACAATGGAATACTACTTAGCCATAAAAAGAGAATGAAATTTTGTCCTCTGCAACATGGGTGGAGTTTGAGAGTATTATGTTAAGTGAAATTAGTCACAGAAAGACAAACACTGTATATCAATTATATATGGAATCTAAAAAATAAAACAAACTAGTGAATATAACAAAAAATAAACAGACACACACAGATAAAGAGAACCTAGTGGTTACTAGTGGGGAGAAGGAGGCAGGAGGGGCAATGTAGGCACCGGGGATTAAGCGGTACAAACCACTATGTACAAAATAAATAAGTTACAAGGGTATATTGTACAACACAGGGAATATAGCCAATATTTTATAACAACTATCAATGGAATATAACCTTTAAAAATTGTGAATCACTATGTTGTACACCTGAAACTTATATAATATAATACATTAACTATACCTCAATAAAAAACAAACAAACAGGGACTTCCCTGGTGGCAAAGACTCCACGCTCCCAATGCCAGGGGCCTGGGTTCGATCCCTGGTCAGGGAACTAGATCCCACATGCATTCCGCAACTAAGAGTTCACATGCCACAAATAAGCCACAACTGAGGAGCCTGCCTGCTGCACCTAAGACCCAGCGCAAACAACCAAATAAAAAAAAATATATTAAAAAAAAATATTAAAATAAAAAATTTTTAAAAAAACTAAGCATTTTCTAATTGACATCTCATTTAGACCATAAGACAGGATCCCTGAGAAATCTTCCACAAATGGTGCTGGCATAGACACCTCAAAGCAATTGTTACTGAATAACAGCCTTGCTAGGACAAACTAACATATATTGTTTAAAGCCCAGGAGTGACACTACTGAGGACCCAGAACAGAGTCAGCAGTGCAGACTGTGCTGCATACTTCATTGGCTGTTATTGCGGACTGCACACTACCTCTTTGCTCTAACTGCTCCTTCAGCACACCCAAATAGCTACCCACTTTGTCCTGTTCCCCAAACCACAAAGTCCTAATTATAAATCTCAAAAGGGTAGGCTGCACTTACTTGGAAAGGGCTGAGAGATAATCTGGTTTTTCACCACAATGTGAGGGATCTGTGATTTAATTTGAACAGCTTCCCGAGAGAGCTGTGCAAAAATTTCTTTACATAAGAGAACATTTTGTGCTGCTTCTAATTTCGTCTGCCAATGTGGGGAACCTGAAAGACAGGGGACATACGCATATATTAATTAACTAATTATATTAGGTATTAACTAGCTTAAATGATGATTTGGATACATATGACAAAAGTTTAGAAAACAGTGCATTATAGCATATAAAACATTTTACTTCTTTTACACAGAGAAAACTGGTAAATAAGTTCAATCTTTAAAAAAAGATCACACAGCTATTCACTAATGGTTAATTAACAAATTATAAATACTTACATTTCCAATTGCTCTTATTCCTAAGTACCTATTTTTCCTATCTATGTTTATCTTCAGTTCATTTGTAAATATAAGCTTAGACAAGACCAGAAGTTAGAGGATAGAACATAACTATACCTGGTTTGGATTTAGGCAAAGGTCGTTTGAAGAGTTTAACTGTGCCAAGATCACCTATGTCTGGAGACTGTTTTTGAATTGAAACCTATGTGACGATAATAACATGAAAAAATGTTAGCAAATTAGCTTCTGGGCTATTAATAAGAAATTGCTAGAAAAATACTTTGACAAATACCTTGATATATGCAGAGCCCTCTAAATCACTAGGAATCTGGACATCAAGGGGACAGTAATCATCAGGTATTTTCTTGTCCAGATCAATATCTGTATTCTTTATTACTTCAAATGTACCATGATGGGGAAACAGAGATCCTAAAGGCGTATTAAAAATAGCAAAATGAAAACCAGTTAACATGTTAATTTAACACAAATTATTAAGCGTATAATAATATTTCACATACACATCACTGAAGCATAAATTAAGTTCCTATGAAAAACGTGTTTTGGGGGAAGGGAGAGGCGTGGTAAACAAAAGGAAGTAAGGAAGCAGGAGAAAAGAGTTATTTACCTTAAAAAAATAACATGCCTTAGTCTAATGGTATCATAATAATATGAACTCTACAGGCCATCCAAACTGTTTTCTTCAAATGGAGTTTTGACAAAATGAATATAATTCTAGAAAATACTTCCATAAATTTAAACTTTGGAGATTAAAAACTTCTGGAGCTCAGTCTCTGTAATAAGGTTGCAATTAAAGGGTTCTGAATTCAGTAAGAGAAGGACAAAAGGAAAGTGTATATACCACCGTTTTTTCAACCAATTCCCAGACTTTCATGTGATGTCTTTTAATGTAATGCATAAGTTTGGGATAGTTTTGGGTTGCTGAATTACCGGAGGAGTGGGTAGATGAATGTAACTGCTGTTTTATAACAAGGGAAGATGTTCAAGATTTTCTTGCAATTAAAACCAGAATGTAATCAAATCCTTTTATAACACAGGTGACTATCCCATAGAGAGAAATTAGGTAAAGTTCTTGCACACAATTACTTGTTGGGAAGAGCTTACAGTGTTCAAAGCCAGAAAGCACTGCTTCTATAGACTACCTATTAAAATGTAAAAATGTCTCTGTCATCTCGAATTCATCTTTGTGATAGAACTTTACCTTCAGAATTCAAAATTTCCCAATTCACATCAACGTTAAGGCATGTAGGTCTCCCAGTACTTAACTACATCAATTTACCTTCCTTTAATTTTGGGATAATGATGGCTTGCTCTGACAAATGAATCCTTTTAAAATATCACTCTACTATTGTTACCCCGGTGATCACAGCCAGGGCTCCTTGCTTTTTTATCCCTTGACATTCAAAGTTTTTACCCCACTGAGCTGTGAGTCATAAACTTTTACTGTATCCTCTGAATATACGTCAACAGCTTAAAGACAGTACCATAATTACCTCGAAAAACCTGCTATTATATATCATAGCTCAACAACAAAGAATTTATACCAAAAGATGTGAATTCAAGATATTAAACTCTGATATACTTCAACAGAGTATATTCCTAAAGTTAGTGTTGCAACCTTGGCTGAATGGAAAAAGGAAGGCGAAGTGTTTTCACCACTGTTTCTCCTCACCCAGGATATGAAAACAGCTTAGCAGACTTTAGGGAGAAAAATAGAATAAGGAAGAATAGAGAAGTTTCTTTTCTCCATTTATGCCCAGTTTTTGAGGGTTACTGGTAAATCTGTGATTGAGGACTCTAACCCTACCTCCTTATTTCTGATTAAAATGTCAATTATGGTTCAGGGTGTATGAGCACATAAACCCTATCTCTGAACTTTCAATTAAATGTATCTAAAATGTTTCCAAATTGAATATAAACTATTTGTACATATATTTACATAGGTTGTGATAAGGGTAATTTTACCTTTTTCAGGCTTATGGGCACAGAAATTAAAACTTCAAAACGTAACATGTACCTGAGAAATAATATTATTACAGAAGACTATGTGGGAGTTCCCTGGCAGTCCAGTGGTTAGGACTTGGCACTTTCACTGCCAAGGGCCCAGGTTCAGTCCCTCATCTGGGAACTAAGATCCCGCAAGCCATGCAGTGCAGCCCCCCTTCCCACCCAAAAAGGTAACATTACAACCTACCATTTATAGTTTTTGAAAAGCTATATTTTAAACAATAATCTATACCTGCACTTCTGTAGCTCAGATCTCCAAGAATTTTATCTCCAACTTTTCTAAGTTTCCAGTGTTGCCTCAGTCTCAAAAGCTCAGAGTTGAAGTCTCTTTGTAGCTTATTTTCTTGGTTTTCAGTGACTGATTTAGTCAGTCTTTCTGCCCCCTTCAGTAGGATTTGTGCTGCTCCCGCAAGTGACTTCTTTTTGGATATCAACTGCAACGTCTGAGGACTCTATCAAAAACAATCCAAAAGTGTAGCTCTGTATTATTTTTTAAATGATTTTAAAATGATACACTTTTCTCAACAATAAAATACCTACTCAAGGGAAAATTTAAAAATTAAAGAAAAGCACGGAGAAGGGCGAAAAGCACATATAATAATGTTTTTTTTTTTTTTTAAATAACCGCAACCTATTACTTTGGTCAACTTAAATAAAGATTTGTGTTAAACCAAATCACCAGTGGACTGTAAATCAGAACTTAACACTGCATCAACCTGGCCCAGCCTAGGTTAGGTTCCACTCTCTGTACTGCCATTCCTCTCCTATGTATGCCACTCCCCCCCCCACCCACACGTACACCCTTTCGAGGCACTCAGTACACTTCAGATCAAAGTCCATAACTTGAAAACTGATGAGAAATCAAAATCTATGTATTATATATATCCACAATCACTACCAATTCATGTAGACACACTTCCAAAAAGCCAAGTTTAATGAAAGTTTTCTGGCTGCTGCATAAGAGTCAAAATAATAAAGTTTCATAAAAATGTCACAATTTTTTGATCATATTACAGAACCGGATTTTGAGTTTTTGGAGAACTCAAGAGAGTTAATCTTTAAATCTTCATCTGGACTTAATTTTGCATTTAAGGAAAAGGAAACAATGGGCACACAGTCTAAAAGATGGTCCTGGGACTTAGGAAAACGGCACCATTATTCAATCAAATCCCACAAATACCTGTTTTGGAGGAAGTGCATCCTGAGAGACAGGATCAAGAGTCATAAATTTTTTATCCCTAACAATACTGAGAACATCATAGAGAACACACATCTCTGTCAGGGCACTTCTCAAATTGTTCCTCACTGAATCCCAAGGCCAAAGGGAAGGTTGAAATTTCACCAACCCTAAAAAGAGAAAGAAAAAAAGAGAAATACACAGGTATTAGTTATAGAAAGCTCATTTAGAGGTTTAAAAGTACTAAAAGAAGAAATAATGAATTCTATTTTAAATTGTTCCCTATTTTATCCCATTCTCTCCACCCCTTCTTGAATCTTGGTTAACATTTAAGTTAGTATTCCTACAATGTCAAAACAAGTATGATATCTGATTTCCTAAGTTAACTCTAACATTACAACATGATAGGCTTTCAAACAACTTTTAAAATTTATGCAAGCCTTCTTAATAACCTTTTTTTCTTCCAGCTTTCAAAACCGGAACAAGTAATTGTAGAGAGTTTCCAATACACAGAAAAGTACAAAAATAAAAATGACCTATAATGGCAGCATTTAGACAGTAAACACTATTAACACATCTTCCAACCTCTTAATCACTTTTAAAAATTAAATTTCATGAATACAGGCTCATTGTACAGAGTTCAAACAATAGAGTTATAGAGTAAAAAGTGAAAGTTTCCCTTTATTCCCCACCCCTAATTCTCTCCCCTCCTGACAGGCAGTCACCATTAACAGTTGGGGAATACCTGTCCAAGTGTTCTCCTATGCATTTACATACATATACTCCCATTTTTCTATTGCTTGCTTCTCCCCGCCACCCCACCAAGTTAATATGTCCTAGAGACACTTCCAGATCTACTTCATTCTTTTAACACTGTATGATATTCTGGAACATAGATGTACAGTAAGTTTACTCATTTCTGTTTAATGGTCATGGAGATTGGTTGCGACAACGCTAGCAGTGGTAAACATCTTAAACACACATCTGTGTATATGTCAACTTTTTCTGTAGGTTAAATCATTAGCCATGATATTAGTGGTTCAAAAGATATACACGCTGGCAGTTCCCTGGTGGCCTAATGGTTCGGATTCCGGCTTTCACTACCATGGCCCGGGTTCAATCCCTGGTGAGGGAACTGAGATCCCACAAGCCGCGAGGTGTGGCCAAAAACAAAGACAAGCAAACAAACAAAAGAGATGAACATTTAAAGATTCTGATACATACTGAACTGCCGAACTGTCACCCAAAAAGGCTCTAAAAATTCACATTCCCAACACGAGATATTAACAATCTTTTTAAATTGCTACTAATCTTATGTATGAAAATAGTATCTTAATGATATTTTCATTTGCTTCTCCCTACTAGTGTGAGATCTGAAGTCTTTCCTCTGGGAGCAAACTGTTTATATCTTTGGCCCATTTTTCCAATGAATTGTCTTTTTCTTTTCAGTTTCAAGGGACTCTTTGAACATAAGGGGTATCAACCACTTGTGTGTCATATGTGTTGCATATAGTTTTCTCAGTCTGTCATTTATCTTTTTACTTTGTTTATGGCATATTTTTCCATTATTATTTTAAAATTTTATGTAATTAATATACCTATTATTATACCTATCTTTTCCTTTATAATGTCTGTTTCCTATCTTGCTTAAGAAGATCTCTCCTAATCCTGAAGTTATATGATTGTAACTTCTTTCCAATATTTTGTTTTATTCTCTTCACTTGCATTTCAATCCTTGTGGAAATATTTCTGTGAGGTCTGAGGTAGTATTTACCTTTTATTCCCAAACGGATCCTAACACGACTGGCTTGAAATGCCATCTTTAAATGCCCATTTACACAGGGTTTCTTCACATAACTAATTCAAGAACTGTTATTTTATTCTTGACAATAAGAATACAAAAACCACACATACTTTTTCTATAATTCTCTAACTAGTTTTATTTTCCTTATAATCCATTTACTATATAGCATCCAGAGTGATCTTTTGTAAACAAAATCATCTGTCTACTTAAAATCTTTCAAACTTTCAGCTGTTGTTCTAATAAAAACCAACTGCTTATCCTGGCCTACTGGCTCTACATGATTTGGCCTCTGCCTACCTCTTAGATCTTATCACATACTCCAGTCAATACAAATCTCCTTTCAGTAGGTGTTACTATAATCATCCACCTTGCACAGGGAAACAAAGTGACTAGTCCAAGGTCATATAGCTAATACGTGTCACAGCCGAGATGTGAACTACAGGGCTCTTAACCAGGGTGTGCCACATTACAGACGCTCTATTAAAAACGTAAACACTTCACCAGTGACAGTGTCCCTCAAGCGCTCCCACTCAAGGAAACCTGCAGAAGAATAAGGAGTATTAAGAGTCATGCAGTGCCCTAAATTGTCCAGGTGACGAAGAGCACAATTAATGTTTCGCGTACCTGCGTTCGAAATACTTCCATGCACAGCATCTCACCTGGCGCAGGAAAGGCAGAGTGACATTACCTGGGCGGGTACCGGGACCCCCAGACCCGCCCAGCAGACTCGAGCAAAAGACACGGGCCTTACCTTCCTCGTCGTCCTGATCCGCGCTGGACCCGGCGCCCGCCCAGTCCTGCGCGTCGCCATCTGCCCCCGCCGCCTCCTCCTCCTCGGAGCCTGAACCCTGGCTGAAGTCGATCCGCTGGGCCAGACGCGCCAGATTCTGGGACATGGACAGAGGCTGCAGGTACGTCTCAGTGCCATCCAGGCCCACCTCCTGGACCTGTTTCTCGCAGGCAGACTCAATGCTGATCCGCACAGCGCGCACCCCAGACATGCTGGCGGCGTTGGCAGGACACCAGCGCCAGCCGAAAACCGAGGGAGGAAGTACGTGCGCCTCTGTGGGGAGCCGGGAACCCGGGAACCCGGGAACCGCGCCTTGGAGGAGCTTTTGGGAAACCAAACGCTGCTCTAGAGCCGGAAACAAAGACGAGAGCGCTGAGACTTCCCCAGAATGCACTGCAGGCCCCTTCGCGCTCCCCCCTTCCCCCTCGTTGGAGTCTCCCGGAAGGAAACCGGCGGACGCGGGAACCCTGCACTTCCGGACGAGTGCTTCCGGTGAATCCCACTACGGCGTCCGGAGAAGCTTCCTGGTCTGTAAGAGGCGTGGCTGGCGGTGGGAGGGTGGGATTCGGGTGCAGAGAGCTTGGGGTGGCGGGTCCCTGGTGTCCACCTCCGTTTTAAGTGTTGCTTGTTGGAAAGTAATGTTGGATAGAAGGATGAAGACGACCGAAAAGAGGTAGGGAAAAGGAGATGAATGGGCCCCTGGATCCTAGCTACGAGAGGCCCTCTGAGAATGCTGAGATTTGAGGGCTTACACCTGGGGTAGAAACAACATGTCTGAAGAGTTAGAAAATAAGGGCGTAGTTTGAGGAAAACAATTAATTGTGCTTATCACCACTTAAAATTATACTGCATAATTAGTTTGTTATCTAAACTCCTGTTAGTGGTAAACTCCATGACGGAGACTATCTCTGACGTGTAATATGCGCATATTTCTTTCATGCCTGAGTTAAAATAATATTTATAAGATTAAGAAGCACTGCTGTGGGCGTGGGGGTGGTGGGATGAATTGGGAGATTGGGATCGACATATATATACACTAATATGTATAAGATAGATAACTAATAAGAACCTCCTGTATAAAAAAATAAAATTCAGAAAAAAATATTAAAAAAAAAAGAAGCACTGATGAGTCCCTGAGAAAGTATTTCATCAGTAGTAATTACACAGGGGAAGATGAATTCTTTTATGTTACAAAACTCTACTTAATTTAAGGAATTCTGTATATCATTTATCATGAGTCTCTCCAAGTTTTGTGCTAAGGTATATTTAAGTTTTTCAAATCCTTTTGTAAGGTATTTAGGAAAATACAGTTGTCATGGTGTCAGTCTCTACCTAAACAATACATGTGGGGTGTTTGTTGGGTGTGTGTGTGAATTTTCAAGGGAGGAAGCTCAACGTTGGCAAGCTCAACAGATTCTGCTGGACAGTCATGTTTGAGAACTACTGTACTTTATGCATGTTTGTAAAAGATTTTAATACCTTATTTCAAAATTTGATTAATATTTATCTTGGGCTCTATTTGTGCCAGTCACTGTGCTAAGTGTTTTAAACATATATCTCCTTTAATCTTTATAAGGTGCTCATACTTACGCAGTTTGGCTGGGGCGTCTGCTGTCTCAGCTGGGCTTGACCTGAGGGCCAGCTGATCTAGGCTGGGCTCAGCTGGTTGGTTCTACTTCAAGTTATAGGTCTACAGGCCATTTAGAAGACTGCCATGTGTCTCTCATTCTTCTTGTACTAGCAGGCTGGTCAGGGTATGTCCTTCTCGTGGAGATGGTAGAGGTGCAAGATGTAAGCCTTGCCTGCATTACATGTCTAAAATCCACAAGTCCCATGGCCAAACCCGAAAGTCAAGGGTGGGAGAGGGGTTACACTCAGCTTTTTCAGTTGCAGAAACTGCAGAGTTATATAGAAAGGGGTGTGGATGATGGGAGGAGCAGGGCCAACCATCAGTCACATATGGAAAATAATCCAGTTGCATTCCCTTATCTCACATCCTAAATAAAAATAAATTCCAAATGGAGTAAAGATCTAAGTGTAAAAAACAGTGAAGTCGTCTGCAGACTAAGATACACATAAGGTAAATACATACCTAAGTCCTGCTTTAGAGGGAAGTGTTCTATAAAAAATATTTGTCAGGGGGCTTCCCAGGCGGCGCAGTGGTTGAGTCCGCCTGCCGATGTAGGGGACACAGGTTCGTGCCCTGGTCCGGTAAGATCCCACATGCCGCAGAGCGGCTGGGCCCGTAAGCCATGGCCGCCGAGCTTGCGCGTCCGGAGCCTGTGCTCCGCAACGGGAGAGGCCACAACAGTGAGAGGCCCACGTACCGCAAAAACAACAACAACAAAAGTATTTGTCAGATTTTGAGGGTTCATGGAGCTCAAATCTACGAAAGGGAAGAACTGAACCTCACACCATCTTTCAAGATTGAGGAGGCAGAGATCTGCCGGGCTCTGAATTAAAATCCCGGAAGTAACACAGAGTGACTCTAGGCAGAGTTGGCCTGAGTTTTATTTAAAATGCAACCGAGCCCCAACCCAGCTCCTTCTCTGATTACAAGGAGCTAATCAGTCTCACACTTCATCTGCCTAACAAAAGAAAGGTGGAAATCCTCACTGGTGAAAGATACCATCTTAGCAGTAGTAAGGGGTAGGAAAGAGTGACTGATAAAACATAAGCAAAAACAAATAATAGGAACGGATTCATGAATGATCAAAACATTGGTGATGGAAGACAAGGACTTTAACAGATTAGTATGTTAAAAAAAAAAATAGAGGACTTTCCTGGTGGTCCAGTGGTTAAGACTCTGTGCTTCCAATGCAGGGGGCATGGGTTCAGTCCCTGGTCAGGGAAGTTCTGCATGCTGCACGGCCAATAAAAAAAAGGTAAATGGACAAAATGGATGAAAAGATGGGCAGTTTCAACAGAAAAATTTCAATCTATAAAAAAAAATGATCAAATGTACATTCTAGACTAAAAACTAGATGCAATTAATAGCCCAAGGTTTACTAAGAGATTTGACACAACACAGAAAAGGATTAGTGAACTCAAAGATTGAACAATGGAAAAGTCCAAAACACAGAACGGAGTGTAAGATAATTTGGGATACACATTCAAAATTCTTACAGACATTAATAGGCGAATAAGGGAATACTGTGAATATCACCCCTTTTCCTGCTTCCTCTGGCCACAAATACCAGTTTTTCTTAGTTTTAGTGCCCTACACCCCAGACTGTAATGTAGTTCTTCACAGCTGGGGCCACCCTCCAGATGAAGCACCAAGAGAAAAGAGAGAAAAATGGGACCACAAGAAACCCATTTCCTGATTCCTCTGGAATCATTTTTCTCTTGGTGTTTTAGGTAACAGCTCACCTGATACCACTGGTACAGCAGTGCAGCTCTGACTGCACTGGGACTAGCCTCCAGGCAGAGCCAAGAGATAAAAAACAAGAAAAAAATGGAGACTTTCACACTGTGGCCTGCTGAGGCTCCCTTTCCTGGTTCTCTGGCCAAAAAGAACTGTCTTGGGAGTTTTTGCTGTCCATGCCCATTGCGTAGTTCTGTGACCCAGACTGCCTCGGATAAAAGGAAAGAAAAATCAGGAAACTCATCATCAGTATTCATTCTTCAAGTTTTGACTTCCCTCTTCAACCATTCAGTCAAAATGGTTTAATTTTCAAGTGTTCTGGGAGTTGCTTTTTGTATTTTATCCAAGATTTTGTATTTTGGAATTGTGGAAGAAATAGCCTGTTGTGGGCTTATTCCATCTTGGCCAGTACCAGAAATTCATGTGTTCTTTAGTAAATTTATTTTTGTGTTTGTGATATGAAGTGTCCTCTAATGTACAATACCTTACAGGGTAATACTGATAGGACTTATCCTTTTTTATTTTAATTATTTGTTCATATGTCAGTCAGTGTCCCCAGCTGACTGGGGTAGGCCTGGTACAATGCTTGGCACATTGATGGTGTTCAGTAAATTGTCCTGGAATGAATGGTAGAACGAGCCACAGGGAGGCATCACAGAGAACCTAAAAGGAAGCTGGGCTTTTAAAACCAAAAGCAAATGAGAGTCTGCTTTTATTTTTTTTAATATTTATTTATTTATTTGACTGTGCCGGGTCTTAGTTGCAGCACACGGGATCTAGTGCCCTGACCAGGGATCAAACCTGGGCCCCCTGCATTGGGAGTGCAGAGTCTTAACCACTGGACCACCAAGGAAGTCCCCCTATCCCATATATTTTAAAATGAACTGGTGAGGTTCTATAAAAGCCCTACTGGGATTAGACTGATGTTGAATTGAATTTATAGATTTGAGAATTGATACTTCTATGAGATTGCATCTTCCTGGATGTACATGTTTATTTTGATTTCTTTGAGTTTTCAACAGTTTTATAATTTTCTCCATAAAGGTTATATATAATTTTTGTTAAATAAAAATACTGCTGTGTACTTTTGGTAACATTGTAATTGGTATCCTTTTCAGATTTCCCTTTTTTTTGGTTTTGACCATGCCACCGAGGCTTGCAGGATCGTAGTTCCCCAGTTAGGGATCTAATCCCGGTCCTTGGCCCTGAGAGCACAGAGTCCTAACCACTGGACCGCCAGGGAATTCCTGCCAAATTTACATTTTTAACCTATTTTTTGTTGGTATACACAAGTACAACTCATTATTGTATATTGATTTTACATTTAGCAACTTTTTTTCCCCTTGTTGAAGTATAGTTACAATATTGTGTTAGTTTCATGTGTACAGCAAAGTGGTTCAGTTATATATATATTTTTTTCTCAGATTATTTTCCATTATAGGTTATTACAAGATATTGAATATAGTTCCCTGTGTTATACAGTAAATCCTTGTTTCTTATCTATTTTATGTATAGTAGTGTGTATCTGTTAATTCCACACTCCTAATTTATCCCTCCCCCACCCGCTTCCCCTTTGGTAACCGTTTGTTTTCTGTCTGTGAGTCTGTTCCTGTTTTGTATATAGATTCATTTGTACTATTTTTTAGTATATGTGTTGCCAAAGCGAGCACATTTGTATTTTTTAGATTCCACATTTAAGTGAAATCATACATTTGTCTTTGTCTGACTTACTTAGTATGATATTCTCTAGGTCTATCCATGTTGCTATAGATGGCAGTATTTCATTCTTTTTTATGGCTGAGTAATATTTATATTTAGGAACCTCTTTGAACTCAGTCTGATAATTTAACTATAGAGTCTCTTGGGTTTTCCAAGAAGTCAATCATGTTTTCTGCTGAAAAAATTATTTTTTCCTTCCTTTTCAGTTGTTATACCTATTCTGTCTTTGTCTTTTTTTCCTGGTTGAAACTCCAATAGTTAATGATATTGGGCATCCTTGTCACATTCCTAAAGTGAATATGGTATTAACATAATTTTGCAAATATCCATCTATCTAGCTAGCATTTTAAAAATTGCTTCTTGAAATATGCGCTAGATGTTAGCTTCATGGAGTTCAGGTGA